CTTCGTGGTGGTGGTGGGCCAGCAGGTGAACGAGCCGCACGTCCGCGTCCTGGTCACCGGCAAGACGGCCGAGTACGACGTGGCCTTCGGCGAGCGCCACCTGTTCCGCGTGCCCAGCTACCAGGCCCTGCTGCGGGGCGTCTTCTACCAGACGGTGTCCCGGAAGGTGGCCCAGGGCTAGCCGGCCTCCCCAAACTGAAGCAAGTGAAATGTGACAGAGATCTTCCTGACCGACCCGATTCGCGAGGTTTTTTTTAAAGAAAAGGCTTGAAAAGCTGCCGTGCGAGCGGGTGTCTGAGCCCCGGGCCCGGGGTCCTGCCACCTCCCCCACACACACCTGAACCTGAGTTAACATCCCGGACCTCCCGCAGGCTCCTGCCCCCCCAGCCCATCAGGACCCCCGAGACCTCATTGCTCTGGGGTTCAGTTGCCCGCTGCCCCCCACTCCCTTCAGTAACCCTACAGATCCCTCCACGTAACATCTCATTTACACTAAAGTCAAAGCACACTTCCAGTTCTCGGGAGATGACGGGCTGCGTTTCGCCTGGGCAGCCAGGTTGAGAGGGTTTTTCAAACCCGCCCCCGGAGGCTCGTGTCGCTCATCACGAACGCTGCCCAGCATCTCCAGAGAGCTGCGTTTCGCCTGGGCAGCCAGGTTGAGAGGGTTTTTTAAACCCGCCCCCGGAGGCTCGCGTCACTCATCACGCGAACGCTGCCCAGCATCTCCAGAGAGCAGCATTCAGCATTCAGTAGTGTCTCCTTGACCCCGTGTCCTGCAAACCCCAAGAACAAGGTGCTATCCTACCGACCCCCCACCCATCTCCAGCGAGGCCTGGCAGCCGGGCCACCGGTGACGTGCCGAAGGGTTGTGCCCACGCTCTCTCCTCGGGAGCGAGCGGTTCTGCATCTTACTGAAGACCCTCTGTATTTGTTCGTTTCATTTTTTACTCCTTCCTGTGTTTTTCTCAACTGTGTCCCTCTCAGCAAAGTTTCCGAATAAAAGTTTCACTCTTCTCTTTCCGGTTGTCTCTCCGAGGAGTTAAAATCCCCACCGTGTTTGCACGTGGTGCCACCAGGAGGACGTGGAGGTTAGGGCATCTGGTGGGATGCCCACCTCCGACTCAGTGCCAGCCAGGAGAGTGGCTGCCTTGGCCAGACACCATCCACCCACCCCTCTTCCGGGCCCAGGGCGCAACCTCAGTGGCACGAAGACCATCTATAGTTGGGGAGCAGCTGGGAGGGACCCCGACATCTTGGGCTGCAGAATCACAAGAGGGTTCGGCCTCAGGGGGCTGGGAGAGCTGGCCACCAAGAAGATTAAACCCCCAAAGGGCCACATGCTGACACCAAGCCTGGGCCCTGGATTCCAGGGAGACAGCAATGGGACGTGTCTGCCCCCACAGGGGAGGGGGCCTCTGCCTCAGGAAGGGTGAGGCGTAGGGGAGCTGAGCCCGCACACACTCACAGGAGGAAATCATAGCCATGAGGATGCTGTGCCCATCTCTCCCTGGCAGGGCTGGCAGGGGCCGAGGGGAGGATGTGGGTCCCGGCTGCGCTCGGCAGCAGGTAAAGGAGGGCAGGCGTGCGGGCCAGAACGCCCATGGCGGCAAGGCCTCCACTCGGTCCTCGCCAGGAGGGAGCCTGGTGAGTGTTCCTCAGGGCAGGGGGGGGGCGCAGGTGTCTGAGGGGACGCCCCTCGATCAAATGCCTCACAAACGTGGCCATGAGAGCGGAGCTGCAGGGAAGCCATCGGTGGTGCAGGGGACGACGCCCCAAATGCTCTCTGATTCCTGCAAAGAGCAGCACCCCACATGGAATTAGCCGGTGTCGGGCCCAGTCACCTGAGGGGTTCACCTCTTCTCATCCCCGGATTCACGTCACATGCAGACCTGCTAGGAGCCAGACAGCTGCTAGGTCGTCATTCATGGGGCCCACATATGTGCCCAGCCAGCCCTGCGAGCCCCCAGCTGAGGGGGTCCTCACAGCGTGGATGGTTGCCCTGGGCTGGTTACTTCCCCACTGCTCACAGCTGTAACCTTGTGCCCATCACCTACCCCTTCATCTCAGTTTTCTCAACTGCAAAATGGGTTCATAACACCTTAGTGCAGCGGTTCTCAACCTGTGGGTCGCGACCCCTTTGGCGGTCGAACGACCCTTTCACAGGGGTCGCCTAAGACCATCCTGCATATCAGATATTTACATGACGATTCATAACAGTAGCAACATTTATGAAGTAGCAACGAAAATAATTTTATGGTTGGGTCACAACATGAGGACTGTATTTAAAGGGCCAGAAGATTGAGAACCACTGCCTTAGTGCCTGCCTGAGAGGGCTGTGGTGGGGCCCAGTGCCCTCGTCGGAGCAGGCATCACGCACCTCCCTGCTTCAAGCCAGGGCAGCTGGGGCCTCCTGGACGTGCCCGGGGCAGGGAGGCCAGAGGGCAGGCTGGAAAGGGCGGCGTCGGGGAGGGCGGCTGGGCCTGGACAGGGGAGGAGGACGCCTGCCTCTCCCCAGCCTGCAGTGCAGTCTCCTTTCAGGTGGGTCTGGGGTTTCTCCCTGCCCACCTGGGGGTGGCCACCCAGGGACCTCTTCCTGCAGGAAAGTGAGACTCAGAAATAGGCATCCCCCCTTTAAGAGGAAGCGGCTTGTAATCCATCCGTGACTCATCTCTAACTGGAATCCTCTCTAACTGGAACCAGCTGGCCCAGAACACAAGTCCAAGACCAGCAACGCGCCCGCACGCTGTCCTTCTCAGCGCCTCGCTCCCGCCCCCACAGGGGAAGATAAGGGTCCCTGCATTCCACGGAAGTCGAACTTTTAAAACACGTTTTGAAGGAAACCTCAGGCCCATCACGCCCGAGTCCTTTCCAGGTTTATAAAAGCGGTATTTTAGGTCACGGCGCCCACTCTTTCCCAGCCCAGAACTGCGGGGGCCGTGCCCAGGCCTCTCTCCCGGGCCCTGCCACCCCACTTAGGGCCCAGGGCTGCAGTTCCCTCCTTCTCCCTGGAAGGGCGTTCCTCGGAGGAAAGGGGGACCCGTGGGGAAGGACCCCCATTCCCCACCTTCTCCCCCGTCAGGTCAGCCCCACAGGCTGACCCCGGCAGCTCCCAGGATCCATCTGCCAGCGCTGGGGACAGGCAGCCCACCCTGTAATCTCTCCATGTGTGGGGGGGCAGCCAGTCCTGCCAGGAGGGGTCCCCAGCCCAGAGCCCTGTCTGCAGCTACTTTCCAGAGAAACAGAGCGGGTGACATCAAGGGTGTGGTTGGCTCTAGAAGTGACGTCCTCCCCAAGGCAGGATCTTACACGCAGGGGCTCCTCTGTCTCTTAGCTGCTGAGATGGGGACACTGAGAGTCCGGTATGACAGGTCCACCTCCCCCGGGAAGACTGGACGCCTCCTCGGGGCAATGCAAGGTGAACACTACGAGGCTACAGAACGGCTGAGATTACCCCGACACCAGCGATGGTCGGGAGGCTGTGAGCCTCTCACGCTGGGTGTCTCTGTGAAATGGTACAACCACGTCAGCACCTTCAACAGTTCCTAAAACCACACACGCACCTACCCTCCAACTTCGCCACCTCCTCCCGAGCATGGACAAGAGCGATAAAAAAATAAACTCTTATGTCCAAACAAAGACTTGTAGGAGGAAGTTCATAGCAACCTTTTTTGTTTTTAAATCCTCACCCAAGGATATGTTATCAATTTTTAGAAAGAGAGGAAGGGGAGAGAGAGAGAAATATCGATGTGAGAGAGGAACATCAATCAGCGTCCTCCTCACATGCCCCAGTGGGGGATAGAACCCGCAACCCAGGTATGTGCCCCAACTGGGAATTGAACCCACAACATTGTGTGTGTGTATGTGTGCATGGAATGACATCACCCAACTGAGCCACCTGGCCCAAGACCCAACCTTAATTTTGAAGATGGGGGTGGGAGTGGGGGGTGGGAGCGAGCAGGGTAGATAGGAGCTGGGAGGAGGGGAGGAGAAATGGGAGACATCTGTAATACCGTCAACAATAAAATCCTATATAATAAAAGGGTAATATGAAAATTGACCTAACGACGGAACAACCAGTCGCTATGATGCACACTGACCACCAGGGGCCAGACACTCAATGCAGGAGCTGCCCCCTGGTGGTCAGTGCACTCCCACAGGGGGAACGCCACTCAGCCACAAGCCAGGCTGATGGCTGACAGCTGGCGAGTGCAGTGGCCTGCCTCCACCGCAGCGCTAAGGATGTCTGACTGACGGCTTAGGCCCGCATCCCCTGAGGACTCCCAGACTGCAAGAGGGCGCAGACTTGGCTGAGAGAACCCCCCAATTGCATCTTCTCAAAACGTATGTGGAAATCCAAACCCCTGGTACCTGTGAATGTGATCTTATTTGGAAAGGGTGCATTTGCAGTTGTAATTAAGATGAGTTTATATTGGATTACGGTTCACTAATGTCATTATAAGAACACTAGAGGCCCAGTGCACGAAATTCGTGCATGGATAGGGTCCCTAGCAGTTGCCGGCTGCCGGCCTCCCTTCCCCAGACACCTGCTGCTGCCACCAGCTGGGGTGGGGCCAGCTGGGGAGAGGGGCCGCAGGCGGTTGGCTGGCCAGCCCTGTCCCCAATCGGGGTATTGGGGGCCGATTGGGAGCCTGGGCGGGGAGGCTTATTGGGGCCTGGATCAGGCTGGTTGGCTGCTACAGTGCGCGTTATAGCCACCAGTCGTTCTGGTTATTCTGCTGCTCCGGTCACTGGGCTTTTATATATATAGATCTTATCTAAATAAAGAAGGAATATGCAAATTGACCATCACACCATCACAAAGATGGCGGCGCCCAGTCCCCTCAGCCCTGCCAGAGTCCCCCAGTCCTTTCAGCCCCACGGAGGGTGAGGGGGGTGGCAGGCACATGGTGCAGCCGGAGTCCCACAGTCCTTTCAGCCCAGCCTGGGGGGTGGCAGGCACATGGTGCAGCCGGACCCACCCTCAGCCCCCCAGCCAACCAGGGCTGGCCCGAGGCACAGGCAAGCCTCAGATGTCAGCTGCCCAGCCTCCCAGGGCTGCCCGAGGCTCAGGTAACCAGGGCCGGCCAAGGCTTGCGCTGCCGGCAGTGGCAGCAGGAGAGGGATGATGGGGGCGTCACCTTCCCCTGATTGCTGGGTCACCTCCTGCCCCTGAGGGCTCTCGGACTGTGAGAGGGGGCAGGCCAGGCTGAGAATTTTCATGCACCGGGTCTCTAGTATGAAAACTAAATAAATAAATAAATACAATACAATACTTTTTAATTATTGATGAGAGAGAGAGAGAATAATATCCATTTGCTGTTCCATTTAGCTGTGCATTCATTGGCTGGTTCTTGTATGGACCCTGCCCTGGGATCAAAACCTTGGTGTGTTGGGATGACACTCTAACTGAGCACCTTATCTACCTTGATAGTGTGAGGGTTACTTGGATGTGCATTTGTCAAAATTCTTAGGACTGTGCCTAGAAGATCTGCCCATCT